CACATTGTTATTTAATTTATTGCAGTACTTCAAGTTCATCAACAGGGACGATAACTGGAGCTGTCATTGGAGGTATCGTGGGGTTTGTAATCCTTGTGGCCATCGTGGTGATTGTGTGTGTTAAAGTCTGCAAAAAGTCAAAACATGGAAACGTGATTGTCAGAACAATGCAACCAACCGTGCCTTACATCAGTTCAAGTACTGGTATTCAACATGTTCGAATCCTGCCTTTTTTTTTCTTTTTCTAAATTATCTCCCTAAGACTTAACTATGCAAATTTTTATTCTTGTGACACAGTTATGGCACATATAAAACGTACAGATACGTATATCTTTAGAAATTTTTTTAATATAATTTTGAAATTAAAGCTTGTGTAAGATACAAGTAATTTAACATATTGATAATGGTACACTGTATTATAAAAAATAATGAAAACATTATTATAGCTGACAAGAATCATTGATTTGTTGAAATCAAAGCCGTGTATGGTACATGTACTTAAATAAATTAATGCATTTTTCTTATCGATCTTTCAGCTCAAAACACATATGATGGATACACAGCCTACCAGCCTGCTACCAACCCTGTATTCCCGCCACCCTATCAAGGACCCCCGGGATCCACGCTTAATGCGTCATCAGTTCCTAGTTATGGTGATCCGCCATCATACAATGGACAGCAATTTGTGTGTAACCCAATCAACCAATCTACAAACCCGGTTCCTTAAGGAACGTCTTAGCCAAGATATATGAAGTACTAAGTTTATACGTGAAGTACTAAGTCTTATACGTGAAGTACTTAGTCTTATATACATGTATCTGTATGTATAAATATACAGTCATATGAAAAACGAACATGAGATAATTTCGTTTCTCAAAAATATTGAATGAATGTCGATGCGCAGATTTGTTATCAATTTTAAAAGAATTGTTTTCATTTTTTTTCTTTTTGGTTTTATGAAAATTTGGAATTTTCTTACATGATAAAAACAGTGTCCGTTGCTAGTTATAATTCTCAAAAAGTGCCATGTGATCATTTTCTATATGTACTTGATTAGTTTCCTTTAAAAATTATTTTTGAAATATTATTTATAATTTTTGATTTTTTAATACCTTGAACTGGTTACAATTTCTATCTTGTGGATTTGAAGCAACACTTAATCTACAAGACGTACTGTTTTATAAGTTCAACGAATGTTCCATGTTTTCACTATTACATTTATTTATTATTTACATGTATTTATTTATTTATTATATTAATCAATTATCGATAATTAATTTATTATCAATGCAATAAATGAAAAATATATATCATGTATATGTGCATGCATGTTGACCGTATATAGCTGAATCATTTTATTTTCTTGTAAAATACTTTGGTATCAAAATTGTTCGTGGGGGACCAATGTTTGCTTATTTCATGCACCACCCTTACCCATTAATTTACATCCCTACGAACAATTATTTTGTCGGTTCATTGAATCTTCTGTATATATCATGTATATAGATATGTATATAGACATTCGAAATTTCGTCCCAACGAAGCAGCTTTATATGCAAAAGAAATTAAAAAGCAGTATTGAAAAAAAAGCGGAAGTTTGTTGTTGTTGTTTAAATAAATTTATTGATCTGTTAATATATTTCATAATGGTGTTTAGTATACTGTAAGGAGAAAGGGCAATGTAAACAAATAACTGTCCATTTCACTTACATGTACAGTGCACAGGTAAACTTGTATTTTTAATACATGCACAGTGTAGTCAAATAAAATTATTGATTCCATCCTTCAACATAAAGATTACATGTATTACTGGGCTTTAGCACCGGCGTTGTAATGTTGGACTTCCCCAACGTAAAATTTCTCTCGTAAGAATGGCTATATAGTGAGCCCCCCCCCCCCCCAGTAGGCTGGCTATAAATTCCTACAGCTAGAACTAATGGCTCTCAGTTACCTTTATATAGTAAATTGTGTCAACTCTACAAGTTATACCCCTCCCCGTTTCAAAATCATTAAATGTGATGTTACATATTGATTACGATAGAAATCTAGTTTTTCGACCTAATTTTTATGTAATTTTCTTTGATTTCAATATATATTTTAATTAAGTTTAAAAAATAAACATAGGCAATGAACCAACTCCCAAAATTTTAACTTGCCCCAAAACCTGTAAACTGTTCATCATTATCGAATATTTTTGGAGAAATATTATCACTTCGTCAAGGTGAGCTTAAAATGATCCCGATACAAACACACGTGTACATGTACACATATATGTAGATCAAAAATATGAATAAAATCCAAACCAAGCACGTGAAATGGGGGGAGGGGATTTCACTCTTGTTGGTCAGGAGGGAGAAGTCACTATAAAACACCCCCCCGGGGGGGGGGGGGGGAGATCATACACCAGCTCCCAAGAGGCAGAGCCCCAAGGCTTGATAAGAATTTAACTTTACTAATAACAAGACTTTACTCAGCCAAAATATATGATTTACTGGTCCCTAACTCCACTGTAGGTCTATTACAAGGAGTTCAATGAATCTTTCAATGGGACAAAAACTTCAGTCACTATGCATAACTATTATTTTCTTAGCTTTAAAACAAAATGTAAATTCTGTAGAATATGTAGAACAGACTGAAATTGGATACATGAAAGTCTTCAATCACTTTACAGGATTCTGATATGGGCAATATGGATCACACAATATCAAACTCATCAAGATAACCAACCTTTGTCTTCAAATAACCAATAATATTGTACGATACAAAAAAGCCTCCTTTGTAACCAATGATATTGCATGGTACAGTCAACATTTACTGTAGCACAGCATTTCATAGCCAACCATTTATGTAAGGGTTAATAATATTTTGTTGCTGTTCAACTCCCAGATCAGAAAACAAGTACTTACATACATGTATACTGTACTAAAACAAGAAGGAAGAAAATAATGCCATAACTGTTTATTGAACAGTGAACAAAAATCAGAGAAAGAAAAATAAATAATGTGATCTTACAAGTAAACAAAAGTAAATTAAAGAAGGTATATATTGTAGTCAAAATCAAGAGAATACAAAAGAAAAATAAGTACTGGAAATAAATTGACTCTCATGCAAAAGTTTGTAAGTATACACAAGACAATAATTAAGTATCAAAAACTTAAAGAATAAAATACATAACTTTCTGGTGGGAGCAGAAGTCAATGATTCATTTGGATTATTTAATATATTAAGCTTCAAAATACAATATTGTCCTGAAAAATTTATGAAATCAAAATGTCAAAATCATATTGGTATCTATTCAGGTAATTTTTTATCATGTCATTTCAGTCAAACCTTGTTATCTCAAACTCCATGGGACTGAGAAAAAACTCCCAAGATATACGTGGGTTCGAGATATTGAGGGTAAAAAGGGCTTGGGACTTTCTAATCACTTTGACATATCCATTGTATTCAAGATATCTGTGTTTGTCTGTTCGAGATACTGAAGTTCAACTGTACATGCAAGCCTGATGTTAATAACATTGTTTTTTACATAAGTATATCAAAATTGCAAATCTTCAAGATGTGTATCAAGCATTTAAAAATGTACAACATCTTAATGTATTAAATATTCTTTAAACATTTTACATGTTATTAACTACAGGATGTGTAATTCTTTGAAAAATTATAAAATTAAAATCAAATTGTAATATTTTGTCATGGATTTCAAGTAACAATCAAAAAATAGCTCACAAAATATGGATTATGTAATATTGTACATACTTTCAAATGAAAGAAAATATAAAGAATCAAAATATTGCATAACGTACACATGAATTCCATTAAGTATTATTGCATAAAAGTCATGGTTTAAACAGGAAGTATTGGGAAAGACAGCAGTAAGGTGTATAATGGATAGATCTTCAGATCGCCATAATCTGGCAAATCAGGGCCAAGTTGGCAACAATAAAAAATGTTTTGTTTGAGGTACTCCGACTGACCAATCAACCAATTGCCCCTACATGATCTTTTTTTTTTCATTAGACAGTTTAATTTTTTCTCATTTCTGGGAAAAGACGGAATCGTATGACTTGCTTTTAAACTTTAGGTTCCATATGCCTTTTTTGTTTTATACAACCTATCAAGTCACAGAGGGGAAAAAAAAAAGAAAACTTCATAAAAAAAAAATTGACACTTAGAAAACTTCTGATCTTAATTTTGTAGATTGTAATTTCATATGTGTAAAATGTGTCACAGTGTGATATATTAAATGAAAAATTCATTGAACATCTCTGTCAGATTACAATTTTCATTTGACTAGACAACCTTCAAAAGGAACTTTGTTCATACATGGTTGAACTAAAACATGTAGCAAGCTTTTACATGACCGAGATTCTACATTATGTACAAAGACTTTGATTTTACACATGTTTAATACAGGAAAATTTTAAGTACATACTCTCTTTAAAGAAAAGTACATCTTTAACTATCTTAATTTCTTCGAAAATATTTCATTAGTTGTGAAAATTATGCAAAAAATTTCACTTGCCAATATAATTCTACAGTATATTGCAATAAAATCATAGAATACATATTCTTTGGATAAATATATATTTTGTTGAATGAACTTTTGATTACAGATTATCAGAGTTTAAGCAAATAATTTCAATACACATTAAAAACAAAGTCAACTGGCCTTAATGTAATACAAGCTACTTCTACCATGCACAAAACACAAATTTAAAGGTCATACTGTAAAATCTGCTATCCATTGATCAATTAATTTAATGTCATTTTCTAAATGGAATAAAAAGCCACAAGATATTAACCTAATACTTTTCTCTGTACTTGAGGTAAGTAATATACTGTATCTTTTTGTAGATGTATGCATTACATGCTGTAAAATATTACCAACCAGTCTGTATTCATGAAAGAAAGCATTAAATGGTACAGTGTTCATAAGTAATTGTCTGAGCAACTGGATTTCAAAGTAAATAAACCTCTTCATGATCATCATAAAAAAAAAAAAAAAAATAAACCATAGAAAATGCACCATTCAAAAATCTTTCCAGTAAGTACACATAGAAAAATCAAAGCAAAAAAGCAGTAAAAAAATTTAAAAAAAAAAAAAAAATTAATATAAGGTGGATAATTCAGCATTGGCATCTTTGTGGAATTTTCCTGTCACTCCTACCTTTGGCACTTAAACTTCATCTTCCGGGGCCAGAAACTTTTCTAGGACCCCCGGGTAAGGATAATCAAAGAGGCTATAATCCGTGTGGTAAATCTTCCACAGCTTTTCCAGGAGATCTTTTGGAATCGTTCTGTAATAGGACTCCAGCTGATCCTGGGTTTTAGATCTTTTGTACGTGGCATTTCTTTTTGGGAATTTAATCAGCTGATCAATTTTTAGATCCTTTAACACAAAGTTTACATCTTCGTCAATGGTTTCGTATTTTCCAATGAAATCATATTGCACATAACAGGGTTGACACAGAGAAACATATTGGGCCCAGTGTTCATTAAAACCTTCCCTATCTATAGTGTCTGTATCTGTAATATACTTGACAAATTCTAAGAAAGTAACATCATTGCCTAAAATTTCTTCTGTCTTATTTGATCCTTCTCGAAATCTACGAATAATCCTCCGTCCAAACCTCTTATGGAAATATGGGCTCTTCTCGGTGAATTTGTTCCGATACGCAGACAGTAATCTTTCTAATGGCTCCCTAACAAACACCAGCTTCTTGTACGTTTTCAACTTCTCCTGTACTTCTTCCTCTGAGTAAGAATCCAGGTACGTTAGATATTTATCTAGCGCCATGTGAACATCTTTACTTTTCAGTGCTAATGGGTGCGTGCTGTTCATCTTACCCGTCAGAATCAAAAACACTCGCTTCATATTAGTGCAAGCGACCTTTGGGATGTAACAATAAAGAACCTTATATTGGTCATTTACTATGATGTGACCTAGTTTCTTGGCAGGAATGTCCTTTTTCACAAGTTTGGCTTCGTCTGCTCTCTGGCATTTTTTACGGAGGTTGTACAGACGCTCTTTTCTGTTGTAATCGAAATTTTTTTCTCCCATCTGCTTAAGTCCGGATCCAGGGGGCTGTTCATTGTGGTGGGAAATAGTGATTTTCTGAACAAGAAAATAAAATTTGATAACACACATGTACTCTTATTTTGTTCTTCTATATGTCAACCCTATTTCATTCTTGAGAACCTCCTGGGTTTGAAGCAAAATTTTCAAAGTACATATGTACTTGTATCAATTATTTTGGCAGGATTTGCATGAATTATTCAATTATTTATTTTATTATAATGCATTCTAAATATGTTTACAACCAGTGATTCTAAAATTAATTTACAGAACAACCTGTAATATTGTACATGTATCAAAAAAATTACCTTTATATTCCTAAAGAAATCTTTTCTTGCCACTAGCTTTCTACCTGTGAATAGATCATACAGAAATAGGGAATTTTTTTAAAAACTACAATTGTGATGACTTTATTGTCTTGTTAATAATTGCAGGGCTTAAACATGTTAAAAAACATATATTGACTGGGATTAAAATGCATAAAAATTAGATTTTGTGTCATCTTTAAATTAAGTGTAGCACTGTTAATGTCTACATAGTAATTAACATACTTGATTCAATGGCAGGAATGCTCCACATGGAGTAGACTGAGAGAGCAGCCAGGGAGAAGAACACTGCTAGTACAAAATTTCCCAATGTCAATTTCTTCATTCTGACTCTCATTGGGTAAAACTTTGACCAATCACTTCCAAGCTGAAAGATAAAAGAATACGGCACATTGGTTAAACTTTGAGTCCAATCACTGCCACAATTTTGGTCTATTACAACTTTCCCTTTGAAATCTTCAAGGAAATAGCTCAGATCATTCATGGCAGGGGTGTGCAATTAGCATCGCCTGACGCCCGGGGCTACCATTTTTTGGGGTCGGGCTAGTTGTTCTCTGCATGCAGGTAGCCCCTTGGGCTAGTAAAAATTAAAAATACCAATGTTATAAATGAAAATCACTACCGGTATTTTCACTTATTTTTTGCTATTAAATTCCCAAACAATGAAAAATTTCCAGGCAGAATGCTCCTATTGTTCGTAAATCTCCATAATCTTATCCATTTTGCAGCACTTCCTGACTTATTTACTTCCAAAAACGATCGTTTTTTTCCTAATCCGAATTCCCTCCATTCATGTGTTTATGATAAATAAAGGCAGATATCTATTATTTACGATCACTCAATCAACTGAAAGATAAGTATTATGTGAATTACGTGTACATAAAATATATTTCCAGTGTATTTAATAATTTAAGATAAAAAAAAAAAAGATTTCACTTCGTTTTAAATGAGCTAGTGCAATATGCACAGAGAAAAGGAAAAAAAAAAAAAATTAAATTCATCTTTATTTTCTACCATAATTATTAATTTATACATGATTCAATTTTACTAGTGAGAATAAAAGTTTAATTTTAAAAAGAATTACCAGAAACCCCTGACTTATTCAACAATAATTTATTCAGTTTTCGTAGTTGTTACTTTTCCCACCTACATTTGGGCTAGTAACTTTTTACTTGGGGCTAGTAACTTTATTGCTGCCACTAGCCTGTGGGCTAGTACTTGATTTTTTTAATTGCACACCCCTGCATGGGGTACAATGGTTACAAGATGATGCTTGGCAGTATTAAAAGTGCACTTGAAACCTACATGTATTAAGGACATACGCAACGTAGTTTGAACTTTATTGTCTTTTTCCCTGGAGTTGAAGAGTTCCAGTACTTAAAGGAACTGTGTGCTACATTTTAATGTCTATATATGCTGTTGTACACTTCTTCTAAAATAAGTTTGGATAAACAAAACGTCTAGAACATATGCTTAGTAATTTTTGTATATTTTTCTTTGAATTATACAAGAATTTTCATCGATATCTTTTCAAAACCCCATGCTGATTTTTTGTCTACAAACATCTGATGCCACAATAATCTTAAATTAAGAATATCTTGAAAAATTATCAGTAGGTAAGGTACATTGCATATGTCCTTAACTCTACCCGTCCAGTAAGAAACCTAGCACATAGGACACAGTATTGTCCAAGCAAGATAAGTGGCTAGGTGCAACCAGGAGGTTGATTTTTGGGGTAGCAGCTTGTGTAAAATATTTTTTTTTCTTTATAAACCTTCGGTTGATAAAACCTGTTGTATTTTTTTTTTACAAGAGTACTATTTTGAGGTTCAAGTGGTCAGCTATTGATTTTTCTGTGACCTGTTATAAATGTTGGAGTGGGAAGAATCATCTAAACAGTAAACAGTCAGGGGTGAGACTGAAATCCGTCATTTTTAAAATGACGATTTTTAGTCATAAAATAAAATTTTCATTATGACTTATAAACTCATCATTTTTTGGAAAATGACGAAAAACAGTCATAAAAATTTAGAGTGTTTCTAGAATACCGAGTTACATCTCTTTGAAAAATGTAAGATCCACCAACCGAAAAAAGGACAAAAAACATCGTAAACAAACTTCATTTCTCTAATACAGTTGACTACAATACTGGTTATGTTGACAGTACAAATTTCCCAAGCAAAAATAAGAGTGGAAGAGTTATTTGTCAATTTATTTGCATTAAATAGGAAAGAAGAGGGAAATGACGATATTCTGTCTTTTTTCAAAATGGAGGGTCTGGGCGCACTGAAATATCTCGCTTGTTTTACGGGGCGCACTACTTTTTTATGGCTTTAACTTTTTGTTGAGACTTTTCTCTGCAAGTACGTATTCTTCCAGATGGTGAACTATATGTTTTTATAGGGCTAAAAGCCATGTAAAAATGGCGAATTAGTTCTACCAAAATTCGACATTTTACCACTAAATAATAACTTTCACCTTCCATGTTGATGTTCTAACACAGGTGGTCGGCAGTAATTAGTGACCCGGATGAAATGAAACTTGCGTAAACACTCTTCTTTCAGCGGTGAATTCAAATTTCGCTTTTATGTAACCAGGATAGAAGAATTAAGTTGAAAAAGAAAATATGATGATAGTAAGTCATATTGACAAAAATGACGAAAATACGTAGTTAGTAAATATGACAATTATCCATCATTTTTCAGAAATGACGGATTTCAGTCTCACCCCTGACTGGTAAATGAAAGATAACTGATCCACCAAGTTATTATGCATGAAGAATATGTTCTTGCAACCAGTGCTAGAAGATTACCTTTGGCCTTCTACATATACATGTAATTTCTTTTTCAGAAATTTCAACATGACCATGTGCAAACTTCTCAGGGACTCCCTAGTCACAGGAAATGTTTAGTTTGAATCCCAGAATGTGAAGTTTCAGTCATAGTGTCATCTTTTTCGGCTTGGATGGTATGTGTACTGTGTACTCCACATTAGGTTCGTCTTCCTTACTGCAACATAAAATGAAAAAAATAAAGCAAATGCAGCAAGTGGCAGTTTGTGTTGCTCTACACTGTGAGCTCTTAAAGCAATGCCTAGATAAAAAGAGAATCAGACTTTGCACATTGATGCAAATGTTACCTCTGGAACCACGTGATGCAATGCAAATGCATCTCACTGCTAACTACATTCTCGTTGTAACAGCAAAAGTTCACCAAAATAATAAACTCGCATTGATTTAGTGGATATTGCAGATAAATAGTAGACTAAATGTTCTTTGTTAAAATTTGCCCTTTTCAGACTTTGTTATATGGTATTATTAATATATGATGTCATGCGACTTCATAGCCTAGACGCTTAAAATGTCTTGTGCGGTTTGAAAACTTTGAGGCGAATCTAAGTTAAAAGTGATAAGGTTTCTGCGCTCACTCTAACGAACACACTGTCATCACATTAAATTAAAAAAGAAAATTATGTGAGAGCATAATATGCCATAATAACTCGAAAGTACTCTTTTTTTGTCGACATGATAAGCACAGGAGTGGATTTTTCTTCACATTTTTCCAATTGTGTGTAAATGTGCTGAAGTTTCTCATCTACATATAAAATAACGGAAAATTCATTCAACGAGGTATAGTTGAGTAAACTCCATAGGCACTCCCCAGCTTAAATATGTTTATAGTATAGTAGATATATATTTTTTAACAATTAAGCTGGGGAGTGCCAATGGTTAACTCGAGAATTTCGGCCCTTTCCATCAAAAAAACATTGTGCTTCTGATATAGTTACCTCGATTACAAAACGATGAAATTTGTAGCCTTCAACAAAAAAGACTTATATCAATTTATAAATGACATAATAATCCATATTTTTAATCCATAAATGATAATTTACTTTCTCAGTTTTTACGTTTTTTCCCGTCCCTGATGATCCGGAAGTGTCCATTTCAAGAAAATTTCGAGCCCGATTTATAAACCAAAAACTTTTTGGGAAGGGAGAGGGGAGATGTTCACAAACATTCGCACCCTCACCTAAGCAAGGAGTATTTGATGGGTTATTAACCTTAAATTCATATTTTCATTCTTAAGTAAACACAAATTAGAGTAACATAACTTTAAATAGATCCAAAAAACAAACTGGAGCTCATTGGAAACAGAAGAAAGACTGAATATATCATTTTAATAATTTACTCAAAGTGACAGCCAGAAATTAAAATCGATGGCCTTCCTAAGAATGTATCTAAGACTGCTTTTCAAGTGTTTACTTCCACAAAGCTTCCACAGCTACATGTACATGTACTATATATTTTGGATCATAGGCGCTTGGTTTCAGAATGGTGCATTTTGTGTATTATAAACTTTTTTATATACAGTTATATGATATATTTTAAACCTGCTAATTTCAGCGATTTATGATCTTTATTTCAATGAGTGTATTCAAACACACCTAAAAAACCAATTATAATACACAAAATGCACCATCCTGAAACCAAGCGTCTATGTTTTGGATCGAGTGTCATCTGCTGATGTATATTATAAAGAAGATGGGTGAACAAGGCGTGCAGAATGCCTATAGCTTCAGATATGAAAAAAAAAATATTCAAATTGTGAATTAAGTATTTAAAGTAAAGTTCTCATTGTTGAAATTTATGAAATTATGATCATCAAAACTTTTCTGAAAAAAAAAATCTCAGAAAAATTATTCTTTTATTACAAATAAAATGGGTATTCGTGGGATTCGAACCCCTAACAATAAAAATCCGGAGTATCATATTGCTTTGAGACTAACACGCTACCCACTACGCTACACAGCTCCTGATAAATCATGTTTGTGATACGACCCTTGACTTAATGGACTTCAAGTATTTTTTGGAAAGATGCGAATGCTTTGTCATAAAAGTGTACTTTTAATATATAGTGGGTCTTTGCTCCATTTTTTTGTAAACCAAAAACTGCATATTTTTATGCAAACGTTTAGGATTAACTTTCAAAAAAATGGAGAGAAGACCCACTCATATCGAAAAATTTTATTAAAGTGTGAGAAAATGACCCTTTTTGTCCTCTTTAGTGTGTGTATGCTATTTCGTAGGCAAATAATTTCAGTCTTTGTGAAATTTTTGTAAATTATAGAGATTTTACATAAAGTATACTTTAATTTTAGATGAAATATCAAAGAAATTTTGGATATGATTGAGATTTTATTTTTCACTTCATGTTTGTCGCACTATAGGCACTTCGCCCACCTTGTTCACCCATCTTCTTTAATTTCATTTTCGTTTATTTTGTTTCATTTCTATCTGAAAATTTGCACATGTCATCTTTCAAACTGAAGTTGAGTTATATGTTTTGCTATCATGAAACAACCAAAGAATCGGGTCTCATGTATGTTTTGGAGATGTTGATGTAGACCAAGCCTTTCAATTTCAAGATTCTTAAGCAGAAAATGGGGGTGGGGGGTTAAAAGCAAAGCATAAAATCATCACAACTTCTATGACCTTTCTGACAAGCAGGAAAAAACTTAGTTTTCCAAGTTTAATAGTCAGGAAAGGCCTGAGAAGATGCGATCGATCGGCATCAAATGAGTAGTTTAATTTAGCATCAAAACATTCCTTAAGGACATACGCAACGTAGTTTGAACTTTATTGTCTTTTTCCCTGGAGTTGAAGAGTTCCAATACTTAAAGGAACTGTGTGTTCAATTTTAATGTCTATATCTGCTGTTGTACACTTCTTAAAATAAGTTTGGATAAACAAAACATCTAGAATATATGTTTAGTATTTTTTGTATATTTTTCTTTGAGTTATACAAAAATTTTCATCAACTGATATCTTTTCAAAACCCCTGGTAATGCATGCTGAATTTTTGTCTACGAACATCTGATGGCACTATAATCTTAAATTAAGCTTAAGAGTATCTTGAAAAATTATCAGTAGGTAAGGTACGTTGCATATGTCCTTAAACAAAGACGGATGTACATATATATAAATATTTTTACTACGTCAAACAACACGCTATACGATCGTCATGCAAACCTTTATTATAAAGCGTGAATTTCCTGCTTTAGAATGTACATGTATTGTGTATTGAAGTTCAAGTAAAACCATTTCTACTGGTAGGTATACCAAGAACGATACCTCTTGATATAGTAATTTTAATCGTGGAAAATCCGGAAGTTTGATCGATTTGTCTATTCATGCATGCAGGGACCTATATACTATAGTATATAGGTCCCTGATGCATGTAACAGATAGATACGCCATTAAATAGCACGCAAACATGAATTTTTGAAAGTCTTTTCAAAAGAGTGCAGAAAATTAGAAACAGGCTACATGATTAGTGCCATGAAAGACAGACTTTAAGGTATGTAAACTTCAAATTAATTTTCAAATCAAAAGTACATTCGCGTAAAGACCATTGTTTTTTTTTTAGTTGAATATTTTTTGTTAGGAGTTTCTTAGTAAATTTGTCATAGTGTTATGTGTTTTAAATGTTCACCGTTTAATTTTTAATTCAATCCCTTGACATAACTCTAACTATATACCCTTTTGTCGGCTAACATCATTTTTATACCTCCGTAATCGAAGATTTGGAGGGGCCTTTGATAATGTGCCAACGGGCACGAACAGGATTATCGAAGATTCAGGGGCATATGGTTTTTGGTCTGTCTCTGTATCTGTTTGTCCACAAAAACTATTAACCTTATACCCACAGGCACTTGTTTCGTATACGGGGCACCCCTACTTATTTGTGGTAAAAATAAGTAGGGGTGCCCCGTATACGAAACAAGTGCCTGTGACCTTGCCCTTTAGTTTTCATTGGTTGGAGCTAGCACTATCATGTTTCACACTCGTATTTCTTGTGGAGAGGCCGTTCCTTAGGTACCAACATATTGACCTTTTGACTCTGACTTTGAAGTTAGACCCAATTTGGCATATTTCACGTGGATTTTTTGTGACCAGACCTTTTTTAGAGACTAGGAGTACCAAAATGTTTTAACTTGACCTTGAAATGTAACATGCTACCTTGGCCATAACTTTTCAAATATTTGGGCCCAGGGCTTTCATTTTTGGCATGTTTATTTCTTTTTGACAACACCTCTAGGGTACATGTACTTTTTCTTGCCTTTTGACTTTGACCTTAAAGTTTAACATACTTTTAAAAAGTTTAACCTTGGTCATAACTTTTGAATGGTTGGTGCTATAGGGTTTTCTAAAGATCACATATTTATTCTTTTGACAAGGCTCTCTCTTTGATATCAACGTTTGTGACCTTGAGTATAACCTACTTTTGAAAATGTTTAACATCGGCCATACATTTGAATGTTTGGTGCTAGAGATTTTATACTCCACATATGTAGACCCTAGCTGTGACAAAACCTTCACTTAGGTTTCAACATTTATGACCTTTTTACCTTGGAGTTTGAACTACTTTTGAAAAATGTTTAACCTTGACCAAACCTTTTAAAAGATTGAAGCTACGACTTTCATTCTTCACCTGTGACAGGGTTCGACACTAACGTTTTTAGGCTTTAGTCCGGTCGGACTAGTGCTTCTTTACTTTTACTAGTCCGCACGCGATTTTATGAGTCCGTCAAAAAAAAAAAAAAAAAAAAAAAAAAAAAAAAAAAAAAAAAAAAAAAAAAAAAAAAAAAAAAAAACCATCAATGTTTTTTAAGTACATGTATTAATTTAAAAATAAACATTGCAATGTACTTTTTAGACTTTTTTTAATAAACAAAGCATTAAATACGTGAAATGTTTTATTCCAAGATTCGTTGAAATCTCGCGATTGGGAACTACGATCTTGTTCCCGATCTCCTTCATTTTTTCTCAACTAGATGAAATCCCGCGCAAGCGCGGGGAATTGAATTTATACCACTAACGACAGAAAATATATAACTGTAGTTTCTACTGACAGCCTACAGATTTATAGCAGGAAGAAATACTTCGTTCAATGATGAATGTCTCCACACCCCCCCCCCCCCCGCCCCTTTCTGTAAAAACTTGAAAAATGACAATTTCGTTAATTGGCGTTTATTGTGAAATCTGTTATACCATGTTATGGATATTGTACTTCAGATGCTCTTATTTCATTTCCGTCAAGGATAAAAGCAGCGAATATGCACATTTTACTGATAAACTGCATGATTTTTTTTTCGGGGGGGGGGGGGGATTCACATATACTTGGGTCTTTGTTTATAAATATGTATGTACCTTATTTGTAAAAAATGTCGTTTACTTCTGTGTAAAAATTAGTTTTTAACGCCCTATAAATAGGCCGAGTATTTGATACAAAAGACTGTATTCAGAAAAAAAAAAAAACTGAAATGTATTGATTAAAGCACAACATTTTACACAGCTTTAATTGTATTTGAACAATACCTTATTCATTAATTTTCTCTTTTCATGTTAGCAAGTTTATTACGAAGTACAAATTGTACTTCGGGTTCGTTGCCACGATGCTCTTAGTAAGGAATACATGTACATGTATATACAAATTTTACCGATAAATTTATTAGAAAAACCTACTACATACATGAAATAGTCTTTCGATATATATAAATATATTCAAAACTTATAGTGTTCTCAATGATTTACCATTATTTCAATAACCATTCATACAAAAGCTTTTTTTCCCCATTTAACATCGGGCTCGATGCTATGTGATGTTCTAGAAGCTTCCGTCAATATTAAGATCGGTGAATGACGAAAATAATTTGCAAATTTCCCTCTTTAGTCGGTTATCACAACTTATTTCTTTTATATCATTTAAATCAAGTTTTGATTGAATAACTCAGTGATGACGTTTAATAAAATAAATAAATGATTGCTTGTTGTCAGTTTCATTAAAAATTGCCAGTATCTTAGATTCGCCAACCGGAAACGCCACCGTACTCACGTTTTTGCTATTTCATGGCTGTTTATAGAAAATAAAAGTAGACTTTTAATTTAATGTACGATACTGACTATGCGAGTGAAATCTAAGTATAGTTTACGGACATCATCTTGTATACAGTGTACTCTTAGAGGAGTAAGTAAGAACTCTGGTGCAGCCATTTCGGAGTTTATTTGCAAAATTTATTAATTTATAAGTATAGATACATTACATCCAAACGTCCGACATCTTTCTTTATATGTCATACTAAATTATGATCGCTAAAATGTTTAATTTCATACAAATCAGTCCTAAAATTGAGCACCGAATTGACTCGAAATTACCTAACTTCCCGCCAAAAAGTTGCGAAGACAGTAGAGAAAAGCATGTGGTTTTCGGTGTTCAGGAGTTCTTAAATAGATCTTTTTGAAAGTTGTCGAGAATCCGAACATCGGTAATTTATTGATTTTTTTCCAGAAATTTTTATTAGTCCGTTCGGACTAATTAGCCACAGATTTTGCTAGTCCGAATGAAAATGTATTAGTCTGAGACTAACGGACTAACGTTAATGTCGAAGCCTGCTGTGAATTTATTTTTACAAAATCTCTCCCTGGGTACCAACGTTTGTGACCTTTTGACGTTTACCTTAGAGTTTGACCTATGTTTGAAAAAGTTTAACCTTGGCCATATCTTTTGAATGGTTGGAGCAAGGGCTTCGTATTTCACATATGTATTCTGTGTGACAAATCCTTCCCATGGGTTTTAACATTTGTGACTTATTGACTTGGGAGTTTGATCTAAATTAGAAAAAAACTTTAACCTTGACATGATTTTTTATGCTAGAGATCTCATATGTGTACATGTATTACTTTTGACAAGACCTTCTCCTAGGTTTCAACATATATGACCTGTTGACCTTGAAAATCAATCTACTTTCCAAAACTTAACTTTAATTTCTGAATGTTTGTTGCAAGGGCTTTCATCTTTCATATAAACATTCCTTGTGACAAGACCTTTCTTTGCGTACAACATATTTTACTCTTGAACTTGACCTTGATTTTGACTTGCATTTGAGATACTTTAACTTTGGCCATGAGCCATAATACAGGGACATTAGTGTTTCACAACACATATTGTTCTCTACATCCTTAAAGGGAACGTCAGGTCTAGAATAAATTGTTGTTGCCATGTTGAGAGATGAATTAAGTTATCACGCTTGCTTTATTATTTCCCACAATCCTCACATGTATCAGGTACATTTGCACCAAGTGTAAACACTATCATGTCAGAATCATGTGGTGAAAATGTGCCAATTAAGAGTTTGTAATTTCATTGTGAATTTGGGTGTAATGAAGGAGCTATGCAAATAACTCATTTTGCTAAGATTATTTTTACATCCAAGGCACATGTGAATAGAGTTACATGAAAATGATTCTAGTGGTCCAGAATTGAGAGAAATGAAGGAATGAATAATGACATGCAGTAAAATCAATCATAACAAAAATTGCATAAAAAAAAGAAAATTATGGAATTTATCGATCTCGGGCGAAAAGTAGTTATTTACAATAACTAAAGATACACCATAATTTTCTTTTTTATGCAATTTTTGTTATGATATATCCCCCCCCCCCCCAAAAAAAAAGCACTGTTTTGAAAATCTGGAGGAATATGCACTCATTTAGTATACGTCATACGTTTCATAAATGTGGATCTTAGAGACAAACCATCAAGTTTTTTGTGCTGGATGTGGGGGGATCCAGTTTTTCAAGGGGGATATTAATTTGTATATAATTGATAAATTAAAGGAGGAATAAATCCATACACACTAAGATATTCAGGGAAAATCTCTTAAAATCTCTTAAAAGCTATTATCGAAAAACAGCACTGGTGCAGCCATTCAAACTAATATGAATCCATCCTGTTGTGGTGTAGAGATTCGAATTTTTATGACTTGTGGTTTCAAGCATAGGCGTACTAGGTTAAAGTCTTATGTTGAAAAAAATATATAACAATACAACAGTGTAAAAAATTACTAGTAATTAAAATAAAAGCAAACCTACAGTATGTAGTGTGGATCAAATTAACCTTGGATTCATGCTCCTGAGGTCAGGCCTAGGGTTAAGCCACTTTTTGGGGTCAAAGTTTTATATGCTAAAAGTGAGGAAAGACAAAAGTTATTTTTCAAAAGCAGAATGAGTAGTTAAATGATATAAATTTAGCATTTCTTTGTATCATTTTTAAATATTCCAAAAACCTTTAAAATTTGTAGAAAGTGTAGAAGTTTTGAAGTCATGGATCCCCGGTACAGTGGCCAGGATGTCATCCGATGTGATCTTTGTGAGACTGCAGTGGTACAAATGCACTGTGATTTCTGTCATGTCAACCTATGTGTAGCTTGTATAGGTAAACATGTTTCTGATGACTATGACAAACACAAAGTGGTTCCATTCAAACAACGAAAATCAACTTTGATCTATCCAAAGTGTGCAACGCACCAAACCAAAAGCTGTGATTTACATTGCAGAGAATGCAACATTCCTGTTTGTTCATTATATACGGTGTCCAATGAACACGAAAAGCATAAATTCTTAGTCCTCTCAGAAATCTATGGTGAGAAGAAAAAATCCGTAAGAAAAGATTTGACAGAATTAGAAAATAATCTTTCTCCAACATATAAAACAATAGTAATTGACATAGAAACTCAGATGGCGAGTTTAGACGGTGATTATGGAAAACTTACAGAAATAGTGACAAAACGTGGAGAAGAATGGCACAGAGAAATTGACAGAGTCACCCAGGAAAAGAAAATTGAAATTCATGAAATGAAAAACAAACACCTTGGAATTCTAATGCAACACTTGGATAAAATCAAACAGGTACAGTCTCTTATAGATAAAGCATTACTTTCTCTGAAGGTAATTGATGAATCCAATAACGTGACAATGGCTTTGGAATACACCTCCAGAACTGAAGAATTCAGCCAACTTCCTCACAAGGTTCAACTATCACTACCAACATTTAGTCCACAAAATATAAATAGAGAAGAGATTTACAAGTTATTTGGATCTATAACACCCATATTCACCAAAAAAGAAGATGGCTACAGACCGAAGAAACAAGTCGCTGTAGCTAAAATACTGCTGGAAGAACCAGAGCTCATTACTTCTATGAATACTGGGTATAAATCACTCCGCAGTGTAACCTGTTTAAGCGAAGAGGAAATTTGGAGTGAAGGGTCCGTTGATGCAATAAAATGTTTCAACATACAAGGTTCACTTAGAAAGATCTTGGGAACAAAATCAGGGAAACCTCCAAATGACATATCTGTGACAATTGATGGATATCTAGTAGACACTGACTGGAAGACAAGAGCAGTGATTAAAGTGAAGGATGGCCAGATAGAAAAAGTGCTCAAACTACAGGGCTGGGTACCTAATCAACTCTGTGTCACTTCTAATGGAGACCTCCTAGTTACTATGTACAATGAAGGGTTTGCACAGTCTAAAGTTGTTCGTTACTCAGGCTCAACAGAGAAACAAACAATCCAGTTTGATGATGAGGGTGAACCTCTGTATTCAAGGAATGGCTACATTAAATATATCAGTGAGAACAGAAACCTGGATATCTGTGTGGCTGACTATAAAGCTAGTGCTGTAGTTGTGGTTAGTCAGGCTGGTAAACTCAGGTTCAGATACATTGGTCAATGCTCTACTACTAAGAAACTACCATTCAATCCACGGGGAATCACAACCGATAGTCAGTGTCAAATACTGACTTCAGACAGGATTAACAATTGTATTCACATCCTAGACCAAAATGGGCAGTTCCTCCGTTATATAGATAATTGTGATTTTAAAGATCCATATGGTTTGTGTGTAGACAAAAATGATAATCTTTTTGTTGCTGAGTATTCTACTGGGGACGTCAAGATGATTGAGTACATTATACATATATCACATGGCTTCGAGGGTGACATACCAGAATGTTTGCCCCAAGGTGACAGGAAAGTCCAGGAGTGTTATGTCACCCGATGCCGAAGGCAGAGGGTGACATAACACTCCATGACTTTCCTGTCACCGAGGGGCAAACATTCTGGTATTGTCACCCGAGAAGTCATGTGGTATATGTTATATAACATTTTTAAATTAAAAAATAGTCTAGAATTATTTAAGTTTAGGCAAATAATCCAAAAATGCTTTCATGTCGTTAAGAATTGCGCTCCGTTGTTTACGTTTGCTTAGCAACCAACGTCATGAAATGTTGAACCCGAGCTACAAATGCGTAACATAAAGACACGTGAAAGTGATCGGGAGGGTGTTATAACTGTTTCCGGGGTGATATAACTGTTTTCGGTGTGTGACATAACTGTTTCCGGTGTGATTCGGCATTCTTCAGGGTTTATAGTGAAACATATTACATTTGTGATATAATAGGAAAACTTATTCAAAAATGTTATATAAAGCATTATTATATACCCAACTGTTTGTCACTCAGTTTTACTGTTGAATTTATGCAATTTATGACGGTGTGATCCGACGTTCCGGATCACCACACTGTGGTTTTCTGAATCCATATCACCCCTCTCTGAAAATGATGACGTAGTACACAGATAAATGACGTTTTTATTCTCGCGCTTCAAAAAGTTCCTTGAAAAAATGGTTTGTTTAATGTATAAAGGTTATGTAATTTATCCAGAAAGTTACCTTTTATTACATTTTGCTAGTTGTAAAGGGGTATCTAATAAATTTATCATTATAACAGTAACTTGATCCGAAGAGCCGTATCACGTCTCGTTGACAGGCGCGGATCATCAGATCAAACTCGACGCTTCGCGTGACACGTGATACGGCTCTTCGGATCAAGTTACTGTTATAATAATATATATCTATATAAAGAATAATACATACCCTTTTCCATATCACGCCCGAGACACCAATGTCAGCACAAGGGTCAGAAGTCTGAGGGTTGATATAGATATTTTTTTTTACTTTGTTTAGTTATAATGTACTTATTCAAGAAAAGTATATGACATTTGCAGAGTGAGTAATGTCCACAGTGCCTACAAGTACTCGCACCAATCGTATTTTTTTTGCACATGCAAGTTTCATAAATGCATGACATTGTGTATAGTTCTGTATGGTTTTCAACGTCATTCAATATATTTGAAATCAAGGCACACACATTATACATTTACTTCCATTATCTAAGCTTCATTCTTTAACATTCTTCTTCAATTGTCGATAGTAGTTAACCATTTGACTTATTATTTACCTAATGACTGCAAACATACAATGATCTTCAAAAACAGTGTACCTCATCATGGTCAATTAAGTTAATTTCTCTTACTTCTGTAGATTAGGCCATCTTGAAAATTTGTTTGCTTGCCCTCTCCCGACTCAGGATAAATATATTGGGTCGGTAGGTAGGGGAAATTTTTTTTATTCAAAAACACTTGCAAATATGATAATAAAATAGTTATTTATGAGATGAAAAAACTTAGAAATGAATAAAAAAAATGATTTCTGGAGGTTGAAAAAAAGTTTTGAGTTGTGGCATTTTTAGTCCGTCGGTCGGAAGAGGGCAAACAAATATTTTTTTAAAGATGGCTTTATTTTGTAAGTTTTTTTGTTCATTCATTTTTCATATTATACTATGTGTACAGGTAAATGATTGGTTTTAATGATATTTGTTTAATAAGCATCTACAATTTAATTGTGCTGGAAATCACTTACTAATTAGTTTAATTTACTTATGCTACTCATTTGGGAGGGGGGGGGGGGGTCGGATGCTGGATCTGACCTACATTTTCCAGACGAGTGACCAGGTTAAAGGTTTTTGAGCAGGTCCATTCCCAAGTAACTATAAGCCCTATCAGGAATAAACTTGCATGGATAATGCATCTAGGGATGGACACTACCAAACTTGCTTCGGATGCTGGAACTGACCTACATTTTCCAGATGAGTGACCAGGTTAACGATTTTGAGCAGGTCCATTCTCAAGTTACTATAAGCCCTACCTGGACCAGACTTGCATGGATGATGAATCTAGGGATGGACACTATCAGACTTGCTTCGGATTCTGGATCTGAACTACATTTTTCAGATGAGTGACAAGATTTAAGTTTTTTGAGCAAGTCCATTCCCAAGTAACTATAAGCCCTACCTGGACCAAACTTGCATGGATGTTGCATCTAGGGATGGACACTACCATACATGCTTTTGCAATGCATAAGCATTACATTTAGCGTTACTGAAAGCCTGGGATTAAAATTATATGGTGTCTAAGCATTGTAATCTTAAAATTTTAACACTGTAATGCACAATAATTATCTTATGCAGAGAGAAATTCTTTAAAGATTGTATTTTCCAAGCAGGGCAGAGATTGTTTCTCCAAAAATAATGAAGTATAATGTCACCATAAAAACTTTGCAATAATATATCATAATGCTTACGAGCTTTATAAATAAGTAAACAATCATGATAAACATGTCACGATTCTAAAAGATTAATTGGAACTTAATGAAACTTAATGATATTATATGATACTTGTGTATAATGATAAGTGTAAACGCATTACGAAATTGATATACAAATGCATACGAAAAATCAGAATTAATCTACTTTTATTTATTAATTTGTTGATTATAATATATGATTTCTTTATCATATATCGGTTTTTCTATTTACATCCTTATTGGAAAATATTGCTTTAGCTATGTATACATGAGAAATCTCTGAAAACAATTAAGGTCAGACGATACGTTCCTCAAATATGTGTTTTTGAAATATCTTTGTATTGTGTGGAAAATATTCAAAATTTTAATTACCTTCTGATTTCTAAACTGGTTTCTAATTGTCTTTAAAAAATTGAAACACTTAAAAATGTGTTATTGGCTAATTAAATTTTTTCAAAGGGATTTTATAGGAAACAACGTCCTCCTGTATCTTGCACAAATGCCTGGTAAGGTACCTCAATATTTTGCGAGTAAACATATTAAAGTAGCAATACTTCAAAGACGAAATCTTAGAAAAAATTATATATTATTGAGGAACGTATCGTCTGTCCTTAACAAGCAGCATTTACACACTGTCATCTTATTCTTCTCTTTCTAATCTTTACTCGAGAATCCACATTTCCTTCCTCGGATTGCAGTGTCTAGTATATATATATAATAAAGGGTAAGAGACTCGATTTGCATTGAATTTGTTTTTAATACTTTATCACCCAGACATTATCTCGCAAAAAAAAAAAAAAAAAAAAAAAAAAAAAAAAAAAATCGAGAATACATTTAAGAAATAAATAACAAGTTTAAAAACTTCTCTGGGAAATGAAGTGGGTCGGTCACGTGATCAAATCCTTTGAAGGCCGAAGGCCTTCTCAGAAGATTTGATCACGTATCGACCCACTTCATTTCCCAAAGAAATTTTTAAGCTTGTTATTTATTACTTATATTTGAGACGGACAATCGAATATAAATATTGCAGTAACTGTTCGTCGTAGATTTTGACAAATTACGCAAGGTGTAAATCGGCTTGAAAAGCGGTTACGCTTCAAATTCATCTGGCAAAGGATTTTGTTTTGAAGGGAATATTCTGTGAAAGGCTACTTGTGATCAATTATAGTGAGCATACTGGTGTCTGGGAACTATTGAATTCATGAGAACCCATATTCGATGTTAAAAAAACACAAGAAACACGTCCGATGTTTAAATGTTGGAGTAATTTCGGTCGGAAAGGAATGGATGGAAACGGACCAGTTAACTTGAAATCAAGTATAAAATTGGATCAGAAATATAATATCTACGATTTCAGTTAGGCATATTTATTATGATGTTGACACGGAAATACTGGCGACAGCTTGCATTGTTAAGACAACGATCTCGATGATGAAGGTGTGTCTACCGAACTTCCGAAGTGCAGTGTTTGTCAGCTGTTTGTTGCGTGATTGCATTACATTGATATTTTCCAACAGATTTTCAAATTTATTGTGAGTAAAGTTTAATGAAAAAAAATTATAGCATTCAGAGGTCTACAAGAAAAATAAGGGTAAACGTTGAGACTATGCAGCTCAGACATGAAACTTATAACACGTAGTTTTCTATTCTTTATGTAAAATCGATCAAGAACTGTGTTAAATACTCGTTTACATTGTTAATAAAATGATTATTATTTTACTTGCGTATTTTGTACATTTTATACATGAAAAACATGCAATATTGCTAAGTAGAGTATGTCTTTTTATGTGGATATTACTGCGCTGTGTGATTACGTAATGACCTATGACCTTTGAAAAACTTCATACAGGTATGAAGATATTTGCTCTCTGTATGTTTATATAAGAAAGAGATACCACAAATGTATATATTTGATTTTGACTTTTTGCATAAATCAAGAACAAACATTCTTATTTAAAATAAAGTGGAAGTTCCAATAGTTAATTTCTTGTTTTAGACTTTCTAGAAATAATGCCATTTCCACATCATATAATATCACGTTCACATTCAAATTCAATATTTCTATTCAAAGAGAGCAGAAAATAGACATATAGACAAACGGACAAGAGGATTCCCAAGGTATGTAGTGGTACTGCAAATCTTGATTTCTTTCAAGTGAATTTTTAAGCCTTATAATTGCTGCAATGAGATTATGTTACGAACTCGACACATAAATTTTCATATCAGTTTCAAAACAACCTTGCACCAATTTTGGTGAATTGTTTAGCAGTGTACGTATATAATGTTCCTTAAGGTCAAGATCTAGTAATTGAGTTTAGACTGTTTTTTTTTATGCGATCCATTATGACGTCATACTCAATTTAAACTTACTTTTTCCCGTATTTTACGGCTGTAATAGAATTTGTAGAAAATGCAGCATTTTCATGGAATTCAATTTGAAATCATGTCAAAAGTAACCCCGATACCTACATTCAATTTAATATCATTTTAAAGTAAAGGTCAAGAAGATAAGAAAAATCATTTTCTGAGAGACTGTGGGCAATACTGATACATTTCCTTTTTCCAAGATGAAAAAAAAACTCCGAAATTTATACCAGACT